GAGAGAGAGAGAGAGAGAGAAGGGAGAGAGAGTGAGGAGGTGGTGGTGGTGGTGGAGGTGGAGGAGGAGGAGGAGGAGGGCTCCGCCATCTGTCACCGCGCTAGCGCTCACACAGCCAGAAAAAAGGAGGAAAAACAGAAGAGAGAGAGAGGGGGAGAAAATAAAATGGTGGAACAACAAAACTCATCATTGCTGACCCGTGCTGCTGCTTCCGTGGATGTAGGCAATTTGTTTCAGTCAAACCTGTGAATTTTCACCCCATTCACCTGCCAGAACTCACCACGCAATGCGATGTAGAGCACATAATAGGAGTTAAATATACGTCTGAGTGTGATCAGGTCGATGCACATCTTATAGACTCTCTATAAATCCCCATATGAGTGCTGCACACCTCAGGGTCATGCATGGAGTGCCTATATAAGCTATAAAAACACAGTAGATAAACTGTGACCTCCAGCCCCAACAAGAGCTGCTATAAAACCACATCCACAAAAACTAATCAATGAATTATCTCCTGTCAAAGGCTCTTTTCTCCTGCACAAGTTATCAGCCATAAGAGGATCATGCGATCACACTAGATGAAGTCAATTATAACATTACATCAATTCACTCTTCTGCAAATGAAAGGTGGGTTGCAAGGCTCAGCCTCCGCCACAGCCCTGGTTCAGAGGCAGCGTGGGGGGCGAGGGGGGATGGGGATGCATTATAAGTGCATTAAGGCCGTGGAACAGAAGGCATATTGTTTATTTATTTACCTAATCAGATTATGCTTCGATGTATTCAGTGGAAAGACAACCAAAACCAATTGTGATTTGTTGTGGGCACAGCAGCGGGTGCAGATGACCCCTTAGCCAAAGACAGGAAACATATAATATTACATATGCTCTGCTGCATGCATGGTGTGTGTGTGTGTGTGTTTGCGTGCATGTGTGTTTAAGCGTGGCAAACAAATGGAGCCGTGTCCGAATGTGATAGTACTGATAGTACTGGTGATCACAGCCTGCAGTGCTGAGTGAGGGGTGCCTGCAGGAGGCCACCATTAGAGAGAGAGAGAGAGTGGGAAAGAGACACAGAGAATGACTGGAATGAAGGGGGAGAGAGAGAAAGTGAGACCCAGGTGTGCAGGCCCACTAGGGATGTATGAAAAATGAGGAAGGGGGGGAAGTAGCTGTAGATGACAGGGACGCTGGTGCTGGTAGGAGCTGGCAGAGGTGCCCAAAACATCAGTGGCTTAATGCAAGAATTCCTTGCCACCAGCGTCCTCGTCCCCCACAGTAATCTACGTCCTGCATTGTGTCCACCCCAGCTTAGAAATTTCTCTATTTAGCCGACATTAGTGGAGTTAATGTGGGAGAAATTAGCTCAATGACCACCAAGTCCAACTTGGCACAAAGACACCCGCCAGGCTGTGGGGAACAGGGACCTGGAGGCTGAGAAATAGCTGATAGAAGCTCATCATGTCCTTGGGCCTGGATCACCCCTACGTCTCCTCCGCAGCCGCAACCGAGGGGGCGTTTTGGGGCCTGCGGGGGTCATCCCTGGGGTCACCAGTTGTGTGGCAGCTGTGGCTAGGGAGCGGTGATGCTGCACATTCACTAATGTGTCTCATCCCTTATGGGATGAGGGGAGGGTAACCTGGCACAACCCCAAACCGTGGTGGGGTGATTGTGTCTGTGTGTGTGTGTTTGTGTGTGTGGAGGGACAGTAGAGGGGCTTCACTGCCACGCAGCCAAATCAGTGCCCTCTCCTAACTCAGCTGCAACGGCAATTGGGGGATATGCGAGGACGGCAGTCATGGGGGGGGTGGTGCTTCTCAACAAGTCCCAAACAACCTTCGGGTCACCTTGCCAAAATAAATGCTGAATGTCAACAGTGTGGCTTTAGCCAGCACTGAGCTCAAGGCGACTCCAATCAGGAAGGCTTTGATTTGATATTGAGACGCCAGAGGAGAGCTTGTTTGGAATTATGATGTTTTAAAATGACTTTGCATCTTGTTTGTATGCGGATTAATCTTAACCAAGGGCCACCTGCTGTGCTGTTTCATTTAGGCTGCGTGCTCGAAATCAGAATGGAGAATTGAGTCCCTTCCTCTTTAAGATATGAAAATCCCCATCACTCTTTTTTCCTCTGTGGTCAAATAGCTTTTCAAAGTCATCAAGCCACACCTCCATATACCTTTATCATCTCCCCCCTCCTCCCCTTTCCTCCCTTTATCCCTGTCAGACATGTGAGGTGATGACCTGCACTTCACTTGTCTTTCTGGAAGAAGTGCAAACTTCTGCTGGCACAAATATGAAATACAGCACACTCACTCACTCACACACACACACACACACACTCACAGTCCCACCCACCCCCACCAGACTCCCGGACCCCATCTGCACTCTCCTCTCTCCAGCCCCCTAATTGCATATGCACAAATGCAAATGCCTATTAATTAATTACTTGACTAATTAGTGCAGTGGTATTTTAGAGCGATAAATCAAGTGGAGATGGGGCCGAGGATGGCGGGGCAGGAGGAGGGCCGCGCGGAGCATCGACAATGAACCCACACCAGAGGGAGTGCTCCCACTGTTCGGGTCCTGTGTGTGGGTGTGTGCAGTGGAGGGGACGTGCACGCTGGAGCCTCTGAAGTGAAGCACGGCTTAAAGGGTCCTGAAGAGGTGAGTGGGTGAGGGGAGTATAGGCCTGATTTCTGTCCTTCTAGAGAGAGAGGAGAAAAAAAATTAGGTTGCTTATGAGATGTGACCTCTGCTCCACCAATTGTGTTGTTCCCTGGCATGTGGCCAAACTTGAACGCTCATTGCACCTCCTCTCACAAAGGAGAACCACCACGACTGCTCCTAAACACTGATATTGTAAAGCTATTCAATAGTTCAGTGAGCATAACAGTTGGCATCGTTTACGCAGTGATACTGATGTGATAATTGTGGCATCTGTGATTGGGAGGTGAATAGTTCTGGCAGCCGTGAGGAAAGCATGGGTAACTCTCCATCTATCTATGTGTGCGTGGGTGTCTGTAGGTGTGCCAGGCCCCCACCATAGGTGCCCATGGAGATCTCCGGACTGAAATATTCATTCTTGTTTGCTCGCCCAGACTGCGTGGTCCTAATTGCAGCATCAGAAAGCTCCACCTCTCCCTCTCGTCTGGCTTTGGCTGCAGCAGCAGAGACAAACCTCATCTGGGAGCAGGATGCTTGTGTCAGAATGTGTGTGTGTAGGTGTGTGTGTAGGTGTGTGGATCCTTCCTCCTTCTTCTGGTGGTTGGTAGATTTGTGCTTGACTCTCTCACCCCTCACTTTCCCACTCATTCACAAACACATGCACACTTCAAGGAAGTGGATCTTGTCATTGCTCCTTCAAATCCATTCATCTCATTCTCCTGCGTGTGTGTCACTGTCTCTGTGTGTTACGGCTCATCCTGATGCCTCATTCTTTCTGCTTGTGTTGGGAGCTGACTATTGATCTGTCTTTCCATCTGTCCATCCACAGGGTGTGTGTGCGTGAGGCTCTGGAGGTTTTCATCAGTTCCCGTGCCAACCCAATCCGTGCCCGGCCAAGCTGAACCATCTTGTGGGATTTTTGGCTTTTAATTATAGTAAGAGAGGATTAATTATGGCAGTGGAAACAAGGGGCCATGCATTATTGATGCTATGAGTGAAGGGCTGGAGGGGGTAGAGGGTGCTAATTAAATCACTGCCCTACTGCCACGTCCTCCTCTGTCTCTGCCTCCACCATGTCTTCCACCTGCTACATCTCCAGCACCCCACCCTACTTTTTTCCCTTGCACCCACCCACTCATATATACTGTAAACACTCATGTCAAGTCAATCAAAGAAACACTCTCACATTTATCTTTGGTTTCTGTCTTCACGCTCCGACTTCTCTAAATTCCCCATATTTAAGAGTAAGAATCTCTTTTGCTCCCTTACCTTGTCTTGACTGTCACTTCAGTGTCTCCTTCACCTACATGGGTCTTTTAGTCATGTGCAATTTGGTTTCTCTCTCCACACTATCTCAGTTTTCAAGCTGCCACATCCCCATTTAGAGTCGTTTATCCATTTATCCATCCAGTCATTGTCTTTCAGAAGTGACAGGTTTTAAATTTGCTTTCATCCCAAATGAACAACTCAGTTTCAATTCCAACCCCATTAAGGAAGCTCCCACCAGTCTGAGCCTTACTCTGAAAGAGCCGAATGTGACAGAAGGCTGCCATCTACTGGAATTTATGCAGAACTGCCATGTTTGTCACTTGTGCACCCTCCCTCTATCCAAACTTTAACATACTTATAAGCATTATTTAAATGGAACACATGAAAACACAGTTAAAAGGTATAAGTTATAAATAAAGAATAGAAGGCAAATAAAATGACACTAGATTGTGATTCAGAGTTCCTAACTCCACCAAGGCCCAACAGTCCCCTCATCAAACCCCATTTAAATTCAAGTTCTTGAAACGTGTTCTATGTAGGTTGAGGTAATTTGAAGAAAAGGTCCACTAGAAAAGCTCTGGATACGAGTGTAAGGATGTAAACATAATGAAATAAATAGAGAAGTATTATTTAAACATCTATGTTAAAATCCCATTGTTGGATAAGTTATTTATAAAGTGTAGGTGCCTTCTGGAAAGATGTCCTTCATTTGATTATGTATCATTTGTTGTAATTTAGCATGCAGGTCGTATGACATTGTCTGATTGTCCTGATACCAGTTACTATATAACAATGGATCAACTCAAATTTCTCTCTCTCACTCACACACACACACACACACACACACCCACGCACACAATAAGCTCAGAAAATGTTAAAGGAGAAAAGGAAAAAAATGGGTTTATTTTTGATATCATATTGCTGCTCACTTTGAAACAACCACATCACATTGAGAAAAGAGATAATGAAAGAAAAAAGAAAAGACAGAAAAATAATTAAGAGTTCATACAACGTCTTTCAACGATCGTTTCCTTCTGACCCGGGGGGAGGGGATAGAGGAGGGGGAGGAGGACAGCATCGGCTGCGTCAGAGCCTCAGCACACAAACACACACACACACACTCGTCCCACAGTTTTTGCAGGTCAGAGGTTAAAAAAGTGTCACTCAGTTTTTTTTTTATATACAAACACTCACCCAGATGATACAAACAGCACGATTTATTCATCCTGGGACATGACAGGAAACCTTCTTATATACGGAGCCTTTTAGCTACAGATCAAATCAAATTAAATTAGACAGATACTAAATAAAAACATTTATGATTATCATTGACTCCAAAACATGAGCGAGAAAGACCAAGTTGGTCAGCGGTACAAAGAGAAACAGAAAGTTTGTGCAGTGTCAGACAGTGCAGTGTCTGGTTTGAGGCTCTCCTACAGAAACAGGACAGAGCTGAGCAATGTCAGATTAGAAAAATAGCTCTTACAACACACTCATGACCCAAATCATGAGCAAGGTGACGATAGAAAAGTGTTAACATGCAAAAAAGGATTTCAAATGACATTTTTCATAATTATTATCAGGGCGTCAGTTCACAATAAGTTGAGGCGTGGAGGTAACGACAGGGAACCACATGTTTAACAAACTGGAGGTAGCTTTGCCCTTTAAATCGCCTGTTCATTCTAAGTATAGCTTCAAAATGAAAAGTGTGCTAAGACATGGCAACACATTCATTCCCTTGCTCATAATTTTACAGTTATAGACATACATATTTTTTGGGGTCATTTATAAAGCGATTCTCCACCCCTTATATTTTATATCATCTATTTTCTTTTTTTGAAAACAGAAAATAATAGAAAACTTCAATTGGTAATACCCAAATGAACTGAGTTTGTTCAAAGGGAAGTTAACAAGTCACACGAATACAATCATTTGTGTGTTACTAATTTAAGTAATCACTTTTAAATTGGTAAAATATTTTCTTTTTTAAGTACAGAAATGTATGATTATTAAAAATGAGGATTAGATTATGAAAAATGTTTGGAGGCCTTTAGTACTTTTTTAGGCCTCAAAAAAAAATATTTTTCTAATGAATAAAACTTCCAGCTGCAAAATATTAAAGCCTGTAATCTGTTATATGTCATTCCTTGTTGATTCAGTGTCTCTAAAATATAATGTCAGGAGCTTGAGAAGTAAACAGTGAAGATGATATTGATGAGAAAATAGCTGAATTAGACTATTTACTATGTTATTTCCTGTGTATCAGACAAATCAACAATTTTATTGCAAAAACGAGGTGAAAACACTAAAGATTCAAACTTAAAGCAGTTTTGTGAAGGTTGTTTTTGGTTGGAACTCCAGTTTAAGGTTGTCAGTCCTGCTTTCTACCACAGGGTGGCAGTGCATGCACATTGTAATCAAAGGGCTTGTGGGGAAGTTGGAAGTTCATTTAAAGACCTTCAAGAACTTTTGTATTGGTTGTATACAAGACAGCCTTTGTTTATTATATTTATTTTTAAGATCGAGCTCGGGGCGTTAGGGAGGAGACAGGTCTGGTTCTAGGGAAGGTTTAGTCTCACTGACCTTGGCCCCTCTACTCTCATTATAAACAAAAGGGCTGACGAGGCGTCCTTGGTCTGCTCTGTCAGAAGATCATTCCTCACCCGCTCATATGTGACACCCACTCTCTCTGTGCTCCTTTTAATCCATCTGACCCTGTTCAGGTGGAGTACATACAGAAATCTTTGTTTGCCCACGTCCTCAATTTTCAGTCGCCACATATTCAAACACACAACAACCACTTCGTTCTCTTCCCAAATCTCCCCTTCCCTCCTTTTTCTCTTTCTCGCTCTCAGTTACTCCCTCGACTGTTCTCCACTGTTGTCGCCTCAGTTTGGTCTCCCTCCTTCTCCTCCTCCTCCTCCTCTTCATCTTCTTCCTCCTCCTGTGCTGCTTGGATCTGCTTGGCTGTCTCTCTCACACTGTGGAACTTGTCTGACTGCTCAGTGGTCGCCGTCTCTTGGTGATCTGAGGAAGCAGAAATTGACGTGACAAGATGCAACAACATTTTAAAACCAAATAATGAATTGATTAATCAAAGACATGAACAGATTATTAGAAAGTGACAGTAATCATTAGTCGTGGCTCTATTGCCAGTTTTCCTCTCAAAGGCTGTATAATGCCATCAGCGGCTTTGTTTTTTGCTTATTCATTGTCATTGAGAAGAATATACTGATGCTTGTTTAATTTGGGATTGGGTAAGTACTTGTTAAGATGGCAACAGTCGTATAAAAGAAACAGTTCTGGTGATTTTACATAAATTTCCTTTTTCTTTGCTCCTTGTTTCAAATTGGACGAAAATAAAAAGAGACTTTATTTTTGTTCCTTAAAAGTTTACACTTTTTAGACACTGGGTTTTCACCAGATGTCACATGAAGATTAGATAACACCTCATATCTAATTCAATCATTTTTGTTGTTCTCTGTGATATCGCAGATCGTGCTCGAACCGTGTCGCTCGACTGAAGGAACAGATGAGGCATAAAAAAGGCGAATCGGTTATATCAAAATGTTTTCACTTCAACTAAAGATTGGTAAGGTTTTTATTTGAGTTTTGTTTGTTCTGTGATCAGGTTTGCACAGATTGTCAGAAGGTTTTAAATTCTGCACGAGAACATGAGTTCAAATGGAGGAGAATACTAAAGGATCACAGACTCCACCTACAACAGACTGCTGTGTGTTGTGCTTACTAATCCTGTCTGGCCTCTCTGACTGGCAGAGGTGTCGGGCCTCCAGTCAGCATGGAGTGTACCCTCTGACAGATTTGGGGCAAGAGCTAATATGACACTGTCTCTCTGTGCACAGAGCTTCACCTGTGCTGCTGGTTGACACTCACAGGAGCTCACGTCAGCCTGAAAACTCTTCGTCCAAGAACAGTGTAGCAGTGTTATGTCTCATTTCTTGAAATGTATGTACTTAACTGAATAAGAAAGGATGAGGGGACAAGGGAAAACTCAAAAATGGATAACAAAGTATCTTTTGAAGTGATACTAGTGTGAAAAAGTTTACATGAACTGTGTGATTATGCTAACAATGAAATTTATTTCAAATTAATCTCCTTGTTGCTACCAGATATGGCAGATTCAGGTAATGTCCTCCCCCGTCATGTTTGTTTGTGGGTTGTTTTGTGTTGTTTTGGGGTTTGGGATTGTTTTTGGGATTTCCTCAAAACTCGGTTGGAAAGATGAGATACTGTATGTGCCAAGGAATAATCAATTACATTTTGGTGAAGATCCTGATTTTTTTTTCAAAATTGTCACTGACTGAAACAAAGCAGGTATGTTCAGAGGACTGATGTCTATGAGTATGTGAAATTTGGTGGAGCTTGATTGAATTTAAGGTGACTGTTGTGTCTTAGCTTATTCTAGTTGAATCTGTTTGATCATGTTATAGAAAGCTGCATGTGTCCAGTAAGAAAATACCTGTTCATAGCATGCCAAGCTTTTGGACATTTGTAACAGGCAAGCCCTTTGTGTCAGGACCTTTCACTTCAGAGAGGGTTTGAGTTCTTTCTCTCATCAGGTTGGTGATTCATGGCTTCAGCTAGCAGAGGCTTTGTGTCTTTTTTTATCCTAATGGCTATTGAGATGTTTAATGACATTTAGTACTTTGGATGCATCCCTTGCACTACCTTGAATACTTGCACATCTGCAAATCTCCACACTCTGGCAAGTAGTTTAAATGTTGCAGTCCTCATACTTTGCACATTTGTACTTTAGCGCAACAATTATTTTGTACTTGACATGCATTTCCACTGTATACCTGTACTAGCTCTATGATTTTAGGGTTTCAGTGAGTTGTCGTCACAGTCGATGTTGCATATTTGTTAAATGTGAAAATGAAGACAACCTTGATGCCTGAAAAGAGGATTAAGGGTTGAAAGGGAGGGATGAGGTAGAAGGGTGAACAGATGAAGGGAAATGTTGCATCGGGTATGTTGGGTTGCAGATATGTTTAGGATTGGCAGGTATTTGGAGGGTGTGGTTGAGGCGTGGCCCTGCTCCCAATCCCAAATTAAGTTACATTTATTTCTTTTTTCATAATTTTTAAAATACAAGCTGTTGGTGTGATTTTCTTGAAACCTGCTGCAGCCCAAGATAATAGAAACAAATAAAATAAAAAATTTTGAAGCGATAAAATGTCTAGATTTTTAACAAATATGATATAAGTGAAATATAATGTGTCTATCTAAATTAAAACACTTACCTTGGGCAGAGAGACGTCAAGAAGACATTAACTTCGATGAAACATAATTAGGCCTGAGTTTTGAAAATAAGTATATTTTTCAAACTGTTCAAGGCTGAGAGGCATTGACGGCATTTTGTGACAGGAAGAAAAAGAGCCTGAAATCTTAAATTGTGAGAAATGTGTTCAAACGAAGAAAAAATACACCTTTAGATGTTCTAACAATGCGTAAAATGTCAGTCTCTGATGTTCACAGTGTTATTTCTGATAAAAGATTTGCTATCAATTCATTTGTAATGGTTCGTCTGCCCTGATTTGCCCTGACTCCGATAACCTTTAAAATCAAATGAGTAAATCAGATTTTTAAATATCACACATCTTATCTTTGCTTTTTCCTAAATAGATAAGAAAAAAAACATTGACTACCAAACCGGTCCTAAAGAATCAAGGCACAATGCCATTGTTCTGTTTTCATCTGTGGTAAAGTGCCCTGGGGTGTATTTTTCCTTTACAGAATAGACAGTGTTATTATCCCTGCTACACTGTGTGCAGTGTTGTCGACAGAGAGCCTCCCTCTCACCAGCAGCTTTGGTGGGAGACGTGTCCTCTCCCTCCCACTGGTCCTCATCCTCCTCCCCTTCACAAGGGTCTTCCAAAGGAGGGTAGACCCCTAGTTTCTGCATTTGTGCCTCAGCCATCTTCTGCACAGCTACACACAGGTAAACACACACACACAAACAGGGAGACGACCACACAAACACATGGACACAGATACAAGGATAGAGGGATATGTTGTTTTGGTTTTACCAGGCTTCCACACTGTCAGTTTTTCTTCTCTTATCAAGCCTCATGGGGGTTATTGAACACGTGCCATGCAGGCAGGACGCCAATGAAACACATGCACTGACAGACAGACAGGCAGGTCCCCCACACTGATTTTTACAGTAGAGCGTTCACTGTTGTTTTCTATCCTTTCTCTCACCCTGTTCCTCCATCTGTTTGTTTGTGCCCCTGTCCTTCGTCGACTGCCCGCCCTCCTCAGCGCTCTCTCCTGGCAGTGCTGCTGACTCACACTCTTCTCTCCCTCCCTCCTTATTCAGTGTCCTCTCCTCTGTGAAATCACCTCATCTCCCCCTCTCGCTTTCTCCGGGTCACCTTGGCCTCCTCCTCTTTCGCTCTTTCCCTCTTTCCCTCTTTCACGCCCACTGATTTACAGTGAGGCTGCAGGTCACTTTTTCTAGCTTAAGGTTGAATATAAGATTATAAATCATTGAGGTATCTTTTGGTTTTGAACCATTGACTATATATAAAGTTGAATGTGACAGCTCTCTAAAAGTGAAGCCAAAGTATCCCGATCGCCCCCTGGTGGCTGGCTTCACTACAGATCATAAACCCTGCCTCCATGTAAACAGATGGGACATGGACCAAACTAAAAAGTCAAGTTAAATCAAAATAGCAATTATATGTACTGTGTATCGACGGGACCTTGTACCACAGCTTCGTCACAACCACAGATTTACAGCATTTCGAGGCTGCAGGTCATTTTTTCCATCAGAAGGTGGTTTATGGGACTATAAATAATTGAGGTAGCCCTCTCTCTGTCACTCGCCATGTCTGTGCCGATGATGAACAGATTTCCGATGCAGGAACGATGCTTCCTTTCTCATTGTAACATCACTCGACGTGCAGTACAGACCAGCTCTGCCGACAAGCTCAAATATCAGCTTTTAAAAAAAATTTGACAACTACATAAGAGCCACGTACACATGCAAGTGCAAGTTTGTGTTCATGTATGACTTTCTGACGTGTGTGGGTGTGTGTGTGTGTCACAGCTGTATACACAACTGACTGTAATCCTGGATGATCCAGACTTTCCTAGACTCACACTCAGTGTCTCACAGCTGTCATACTATAATCTCCCTTTCTCCCTTTCCCTTTCTGACACACACAAATATAAAGAACCTGCTGTTGTATGAACAATAAGAACAGAAACACATCTATGCATATCACACATGCACATGCCCCAAATCAAAACAGTAACAAAGGATTTGAATGCAAAACTACTGAGCTCCTAAAGTCCCGAAGGGGGATATTTTTTTAATCCTGTGCACACAAGTTATCATTTTATGGGTACGAGATAATTATTTTTTTGTGGGTACAAGTTATTACAAGATCATTTTTTATTTTCTGTGAATTAGATGATAACTTGTGCACACAAGTTATTATCTTGTGCACATAAAAATACCGCCTTTCAGGACTTCAAGGGCCCTCTACGTATCTACCCATCTGTCGCATGCATTGTTTTCTTTGTCTACTATGAAGGAAGCAAGGACGAGTTTAAGTGCAGCGAAGCAAGGTAAAACAAAAGGGACGTAAACACAAGGATGTATCACAAAACACACAACGACGGTATCAGTGCTGCTTTTACTGACCTTTGAGTGATGGAGGCTGATACACGTTTGGATTTACTCGTTTTGGTTTGAGCACTCCGTTCTCTCCTACAACCCACTGCAAACAAAGAGAAACAACTTTGATTCAACTTTAAAATCTCCTTGAAGAGCCCACAGATGCTGATATAACTATTCTGATTAGAATAATGACTTGAGTCTGATATGATCCACAAAAACTAGTTTATTCAAAATGTAATCTCCATTTTCTGCCACATAGAATGAATGAGCTGATGTAATGTCTAAAAATGAAACTTTAAGGTTTGCATTAAAACATTGTGAGTTTGAAAAATGTTTCACTCAACATAGATTTGTGATGATGAACATATGGTGGGGTTTTAAAAAGTTACAACATTTACAGGGTAAAGACCAGTGGGGTGCTGATACAGTAGATGATGCCAAAACCACAGAATTCAACATATCAAAACACCAAAATTGCCTGTTGTTGTTGAAAGTTTATGGTCAGGGTGGAGGAGGCACAGACACTAAGTATAAAGTTTTTACTTCACCTTTACCTGATGAGTGGACTGATCGTCTTCAGGAGACGATTGGTCGGCTACTCTAAACAGCGTGGCAGGTGTGGGCCTCCTGCGCCGGATCTGTAGACAAACACAAACCAACCAACACTGCATTACAACCAATGCTCAGCACAAAGTTGCATCAGTCAAATGGAAAATGATGACAGTTCACTGGCAGTGAAGGGCACGCTGTGTGACACTCACTGACTTCATTAATGCTGCTGCCCCGTTGGCTCATGGGTCAGCAGCCAAAAGCAAGTTTCAGCAGTCAATGCTGCTCAGGTCAGAGTGAATGCCAAGGTCAGTAGAGCAGAGGAAGACTCGTTATGTAACGTTCTGATTTCATCGACCGATACAGTGCACAGTAAAAGTAATGTAGTGCAGAACAGAAACGAACTTGACCTGCGTTAAATTAGTTTGAAATCTTTTGATACTGGATTTATTTGGAATGAATGAGCCCCTCACATGACACATAATGTCCAGAGTGTGTCTGATTACATGAGATCACCTCATACGGTCATACACACCCTCACAAACACAGAGGCGCCATGGAGACAGGTCTTTGGGACTAAATGATCTGCAGCTCTCAGCCCAGACACACCCCTTCCTTGTTCTGTCTCCTTCTGCAGCCCCTAATGCTGTTCCCAGGAGGCAGGGGCCAGGTCGCTGAGAGTCTGACAGCTAAACCGGGGCCGGGCTGACTACAGGTCTGTTGCACTTCACCTCTGGCACAAGTCACTGTACACAGTGAACCATCTGTCCTCACAGGAATGAAGGCCCGGCCGTGCCCATACCTCCAGCTACCAATATTGTGCCCAATGAGTGCACATTGTGTTCTCCACATGTGCTCCATGGATTTTAGACTGATGCTCAGTGGACTTTGAAGTAACATTCCACTTCCATTCCAAATATATTGTGAGTGTCGAGCACTAAACCTTGAAGACTTGAAAATAGACTGTAACATGTTAACATGCTGAGCAGAGTTGTGTCTGACAACTGGTACAACAATCCATCAATTATCTTTTCCATTTAACCCTTTGAGGGCCACGGAGGGGTGGGGCCAATACAATCTTTGATGCCATTGGGTGTAAGTTGGGGTGTAGCCTGGACAGAACCGGTACAGAAGTTGTTTATTAAGCTGTAAGTCTGAGTAAGAGATTGGAACATTCTCAGCGTCCAGATATTAATCTGCAACTATCATGATAATCGATTGAAGTCATTAATCAAAGACAAAATGTTACTTTTTTATGTTTAATATGATTTAGATTTCAGTATCTTTGGATTTTGGATGATTGCTAGTGAATCCATAGCATCTTGATTGCCCCCTGGTGGCGGGCTACACTACGAATCATAAACACTGCCTCCATGTACCAAACTAAAAAGTCACGTCCAATTCTGTCATTTTATGTAGTTCTCATCACACTGATGTTTGATCAAGTGTCATTTTTCCAGTAAATTTGGTTTAATGCTATCGAACTGCGGTGAAACTTCCTGATTGACAGCTGAGACTGACTCAGGATGGGTAGAGCGTGTGCATCAACAGCTCCATCACCCGACGGCCATTGTGCAGATTCAGGCTCCAAATGTACAGGTTACATATCCTGGATATTGTGTCTTCATTTCAGCATTTTTTTGATTATTTTCTGACAATTTATAGCTTTAACAACTCCAGCTTAAGTGGTAATGAAGATAAGCATTAGTTGCAGCAGAGAAGTCGATGGTGGTGCAGGAGTGGTTTAAAGTTTCTGTAGATGATTTGCTACATGAAATGTGAACTTGCAGTTGATAACAAGAGACACCTGTTTGTTTAGGAGCCTCCGGCCTAAACTGCAAACCTTTTACAAGGTACCTTTAAAGCAAACAGGAAGTGAACGTTTGACACACATTTTTTTGGGAACCACTTCAATAACCATATGCTACTGAAATGCCCTAAGAACAATGTCCCTTTGCCTCATAAAGAAAGATTTTATGTGCCAAGCTCAATCCCTTGACTCACTTCCCAAAAAAGGATTTACATTTGACATCTGCAAAATTTCCCTTCAGGGAAATTGCAGGATAAAATAAACAGCACAGAGAATAAGAACCGTGCTGCAGAGGGGACTCAACCAGTCTGACAAACAAATGTCCTCTCTGGTGCGATCCAACCTTGAAGTGAACCTTGGTGCTGTTGTTTACAGCACCACATAACATCAGCTAAGTCGCCTGGCTCTGTTTGGTGTAAAACTGCTCTGGACGGTGAGTAGTGTTTGTGTTCGGTTCCCCTCCATCTTGTTGAGCGATTTGTTCGTCATCACAGTGAGGCCCGTGTTGCCAAAGCAGAGGCTCACTGGGCCGCGTTGTGGAAAGCTGCCGCCATCAAAGGACAAAAACAAAGTTTAATCAAGCATAGATTTTACCCTTATTTATGACTCCGGACTCTTGTCATGCAACCTCCAGCTTTCCTGTCTCCTCTGCACCTCCTACACTATCTGTCTCTCTCTCTCTTTAACCTCTCATTTCCCTCTCACTTGATCCAAACAGGATATAGACGCAGCGTCTATATCCTGTTTGCTTCCACGTCTAGCCCTCGTTCCTTGACAGTGGTAATAGCCTCGTCCCCCATCCTCTTCATCTCTCCACTCCATCACCATACTGAAATCATCATCATAATCCTCTTTTTGCTGTCCTTTCCTTCTCTCTGTCTTTATCGGAAGGGACAATCCACATATTCTGAGGTTCTTACGTTTCTAAATTGTGAATAATTTATGCTTTTTACTATATTATATCATTGTAGATAACATTAGATAATGGAAAATATAACCTTGGATTCTGAAAAGCACTGATGGACATTTTCCACTATTGTGTGACATTAAAACATCAAATAATAATCAATTAACTATAACAATAATTTTAAGACAAATCAATAATGACCTGTTGATTAAAGTTTCAGTATTTGTAAACATAATTTACAAAATGTCAGTTTCCCAATTACTGTGAGATTTTCTACAAATACAAATGTCCTGTTCAGTCTAATCAATCATAAACAGCCTCCACATCCCTCCTTTACTCTTTTTCACACTTTTTAAGACGTTGTTAGGTTTCATTATTCTGGTTAAACTGGTTCAGGTTTTGTTAATCTGGATAAACCTGCTTGTATACATAAACTACTGCAGTGGTCATTGTAAACCATATTTAGGAATAAGCTGTTTGTTTAGCCTGTGGTGATGCCAGTTGCAGCTTTCTTTTTGAAACTGGAAAAATGACCTGCAGCCATTGAGCCACAGCAGTCAACAACTAAAGCCTGACTGCAGGAAGCTGAAGCTGCACAAAGAGCTGCTCACCTGTTTATTCCAAGTTCAGTGAAGCTGGACACAGTACGCACAATCGTTGTCGTGATCGACAACATCACTCATGTTAATGAGTCCCAGCCGCTGCTGCTACAGAGGCTAGTCACCTGTTTATTCTAAGTTTATTAATATTGAATATATCTCGTGTCCAAATTGCACCAAAATACAACATTGCACTTCCTTGAGCCCCTAACAATACACATGTCCAGTGCAAAGCCGATAAGATGAAGAGTTCTCGAAATATGTGTGCCACAGACAGACAGAGCTTACTGGAATTATATCTTAACAAAAACATTTATAGAAAAGCATTGAGTGCAAATTTCCAAAGGAATGTATGTAATGTCTCAGCCTTCAATCTTTATCTTTTTGTGTCTGTTGTGAAAATTATGAAACAAAAGCAAATAAATTCCTATTATTATCCTATCTGGTATCTGGACTGAGTCCATTTCATGACCTCCAATGTGGTCAGAGCTTTTCCCCTCTAATGAGATGTCACTGAAAGAGACAGGTGCTCAACGAAAGCTGGGAAAGTTTCACAAGTCCTGGGTCGAGGTCCATTTAATGAGACGGAGATAAAAATAGGGATGATGAAACCATTGGAAGGTAAAATGACCTGATGGGATAATTGAGGTCATGAAGAGGCATCCTCTGATGAACTACCTGTGTGTGTTTGCATATCTGTGTGAGTACAGTGGCTGTCTGTCATCTAGGTTATCCTAGTGGTATTCCTGTGAAATGTCAAGTCTTGACCTCCTGAACCAGGAAAAGGACAACGGTCCACTTCCTAGATTAGTTGTAAAATACACTAAATGACACAAGAATATTAATGGAGTCAGTAAACACTAATGCAAATTCATCTGTCTCTGTGTCTCTTTTATGCAAATTTGAAAAGAGAGTGTGGTGATGGTGGTGTGTGTGTGTGTGTGTGTGTTGGGGGGGGGGGGTTGTGACGTGCACTGCTGTTGTATGACATTGGCAATGCCAGATGACATAAACACACACAGTGACTCTAGTAATTTTCCAGCCTTAAAACCACCCCACTCTGCCCAACTTACATAATATCGTGTGTGACTTCCTCATTTACGCCAACACTAGGGCACAGTATGTGAGATTAGTGGTGATGTGCTTCATCCCTTCCCCTCCCTCCTCTACTTCTGTAACCCCCCTCCGCTTGCCTGCCTGCCTCCAATCTCCCAAATCTTCGAGGGGGGCAGATATTGTTTCTGTACTAAGATCAGTGGAGCCGCTGCGGACACGAGGGGGCTCTGAGCAAGCTGCTGATGTGGCCTTTCAGTAGCTCTGCAGGTGCACGCCTGCAGGCTTCCCCATCGAGAGGCAACAGAGCTGCGGACGCAATAAAAACATTGACTCGTGGATCACAGCGCAGACGGGAGACACAACAGTTCCTTGAATTTGAAAAATGTGCTGACTCTACATTGAGGAGGCGGAGAGAGAAACCTCTGCTATCTCCTTGAAGCCATTTCAAAGTGTGGTTTAAAATCTAACATGTATATGACAGTTGTACAGGCAGAGAGGGTAAGTTGCCTAGAATGACTCCAAAATGTTACTCCAATATCTCACCCGGTGCTGTGTGTACATGAGTCATTGGTAAATGTTGACTTTGCACATGTGTGTGTGTGCACAGGTATGCGTGTGTTGGCTCAGCACACTCTTGCGTAGCAGCCCGGCAGCAGATCAGCCGATGTGGGTCTGCTCCCCGGCGGCCTTCACCTAAGCTGGTGCCATCGCAGCCAT